CATTCCTGTAGGAAAAGCGAAAAGGTCCTGGACGTTGTTCGCCTGAACCGTCATATTTACCATAATATTCACCACCACGGTCAGATCGAACAGATTTAATCTTCTCTCCCAGTTGATTTTCAACTTCAGCTTTATAAGATTTAAACACGTCCAAAGACTCAGATTTTTCATGAATGAGATATAAGTAACCATAAAGAGAATAGTCATCAATGAATGATATAAAATATCTTTGGCCATTTCTAGCTGCTCTAGTTTGCAATATGAATGGACCGCAAATATCTGTATAACAGTTCTAAAACATTGGATACCGAAAGGCACCTAGGTCTCTTTTGCTTTAGGTCTGTTTTCCCTTTAATACACTCAATACAAGAATCCCCAAACCTTGTAATCAAGTGTATCTAAATACCATCAGAAACAAGACGTCAATTCTCAATTGTGGATAAATGACAGCCAAAACGTCTATGCCAAACCGTAACAGTCTGAGGTTTATCAAATTCAACTTTCGTTAAGTACCTTTCTTTTGGTACCTCTTGTAGTAACATGTAGGGATTCATGATAACTAGTATCAATGTCTAACATATATAGATTATCACATTCATTCAAGCAACCAGTACTCAAAACTTTTGAATTCATAGATAAAGTGAATACACTGTCTCCAAAAGAACAATGAAAACCAGATTTGTCCAAACAGGAAACAGAAATCAAATTCCTTCTAAAAGAGGGAATAACAAAAGTATCTATAAGATCCAAAAAATAGCCAGTACTTCCTCTACTTCAACCGGATCGCCATTTCCCACATAGACGTATCTTTCACCGTCAGTTGGCTTTCTATAGTTGAGGCTCTTTCACCGTCAGTTGGCTTTCTGTAGTTAAGGCAGCCCTGCAATGAAACACTTATATGAGCGGTAGCACCAGAATCCATCCAATAAGTGTTTTTAGGAGCTGAAGTTAAATTAACTTCATAACAGACTAAAACAAGGTACTTGCCCCTCTTTGCAAGCCAAATAGCAAATTTAGGACAGTCCTTTACAAGGTACTTACCCCTCTTTGCAAGCCAATTAGCAAATTTAGGACAGTCCTTTCTCAAGTGATCCGTCTTTCCACAAAAGAAGCATTTTGGCACATAAGGCTTCTTTTGTACTGGATCTACAGCAGTAGCAACAGCAGGTTTCTCAATAGCCTTTTCAACAGTCTTTGCAGAAGGCCTCTTTCTTTTCTTGTTCTTGCCCTTCTCAGCTGAAGAAACAAAATGAGCACTCTCTCTTTTGTTAGAATTCATCTTTTCCTCCTCATCAACACAATGAGAAATGAGCTCGTTAAGAGTCCATTTATTCGGCTGACAATTATAGGAAGTCCTAATTTGTCCATACTGAGAAGGAAGAGAATTCATAACCAAATGGACTAAAAGGTCATCTGGTAAAGCCATACCCAGCACCTTCAGTCTCTTTGCAATCTGAGACATGCTAAGAATATGCTCCCGAGCACCACCATTGCCAGCAAACTTCATGGAGGTTAATTTTCCTAAAAGTGTTCTCACTTCGGCTTTGTCATTCTTGACATAAGCCCTCTCCAGCTCGGCAAGAGTTTTTCTTATCACTTCGGTTTCACTATAACCTTATGGAGCTATACAGATATCTTGCTTTATCATTGCATGAATCATACAGTATACTAAATAGAAATAAAGACCATCAAGGTAAACTGAAAGTATCGCGATATGTGTGCTTATATGTGCTATATGTGTTTACATGCTTATTTCTATATATGAGTGTTCCTTTTTATGTTGAGATATCCACTGAGCTTTATTTGCTCAGCGAGTTACCTGTTTAACTCGCAGGTTTTGAGACTGGTCCATAGAGAGTCCGCCTACAACTGCTGCAGTTCATCTGTAGAAGACTCAGTCTTCAGGGTAGCTACTCATTTGGATGTATATCTTTTGTCTATTTGTTTCATGGCATGTACAGGGCACACAGTTGGGCCCATTCCATTGTGTAACTAGTAACATGTTTTGTAAATATGCAGTACATTATTTATGTAAACAACATCAGCATGCTATTATGAATTCAGCATATCAGGTCATTAAGTCAACCAGTTTGTAACGTCTCGGCTCGATTTATTCGGGTTTATGGGTGGACCGGGAAGGGATGTTACACATAGTCCTGACAAATAATAAATCTTCCTTTGGGCCGATATATCATTGTCATGGAAAATAATCAACAATTATCACATACTTATTGCCAAACATGTGTTTAAAACTCAGCCAAATAGCAACCTTCCTTTAGGCCGATTAACTATCCGCAACGAATTCTAGTACACCTGTCTAATACTCTAAAATAAATCAATTCAAGGAATAGAGGTCACTTTGGTGACTTATTGATCAAATCAATTTATTTGGTGACTTATTGATCAAATCAATTTATTTTAACAAATATTAAACACAATAGGGACTTAATCACTCCAAAATTTAATCTCAAGTCGACAAATTAATTCAATTGTAATTAAAACAAAACAATTGCAATTAAATGAATTGAATGTCTAAATATTTAATAATCTAAAATTATTTAGCCCAAATATATATATATATATAAGTCACTAAATTAGAGACTAATAGGACTAAATAAATTTGAATAAATAAAGTTCGGGGGTCTAATTTAATTAAATATATGTCCATGGGTCTAGACGAAAGAAAACAGAAAATTAGAGGCCTAATCAGAAGTTAAAGAAACTCAGGAGCCTAATCTGAAGTTACAGAAAATTAGGGGTCTAATCTGAAGTTACAGAAACTTAGGAGCCTAATACGAAATTTTTCAGGGACCTAACCGTAATTTACCATCCCTAACCTTAAAACCAAAAAAACAATCAGAGACGGAAACTCCTTTCCGCCGACTCTCTTCAAAGAAACCAGCCTGTTTCTTCTTCTTTTTTTTTTTTTTTTTTTTTTTTTTTAAAAAAAAAAAAAAAAAAAAAAAAAAAAAAAAAAAAAAACCAAACGAACAACTAATCGTTAATGGCATTAGTTCAAAACCTCTTACCTGTTCTTGGGAATCCGAAGAACAGTGAGAACAATTTTATTTATTTATTTATTTTTTATTAAACAAAACCCTCAATCCGTAAACAGTAGGGTAAACAAATAAAAAAAACATACGAAAATCAATCTAAAATCTAGCAATTATGCACAAGGCTCTGATACCACTTGTTAAGAATTAATATCAAATAATTCAATAATAACCTAGATCGTGCAAACCACTAGATTCAACAAAATAGATTAAATAAGAAAAGGTTGCGTACCTGACATCGTTGTTCGTCGAAAAGGTTGCGTACCTGACATCGTTGTTGGTCGATCTTGATGTGTAGAATTAGGTTTGCAGCCTTCCAGAGAATTGAAGAATCGATTAGCGGAAGCAATACGAAAGGAACGTAAAATTGAATCGTATTCAACTCCTCTGGGGACCACTACCTTTATATACCTGTAGCGTTAGTATAATTTCTATTTCGGTCCTTTAACAAAATAAAAATTATATAATGGTCTCTACACTTAATATTTATAATCAGTTGATACCTCAATAGTCAATTATTCACAATCAAGACCACATTTGAAATTGACTTTACACAATTGGACTGCCTGTACATATTTAATGTTTACATATATAAGCCCACAATAGAAAATTCAAGACCACATTTGAAATTGACTTTACAATTGGACTGCTGTACATATTTAATTTTACATATTAAGCCCACAATAGAAAATTAAATCCAACAGAGAGTATTATAATCATCTATCTTATGCCCTGCCCTTGGTGAAAGGAACAAAAGGCATTCACATTGAAGTGCTTTGGGACGGGGTTTGGCATAGGTCTGGGCTCAAATGGCTGGATCAACTTATCATCCATAGCCTTCTAGAAGATAAATGAAGAGGGACCCCCAAGTCTGTAAAGTTACGTTGGTCAATTCTGGAGACAAGTCTTGGAGGAGAAGGGGGAAGCTATCTATGGCCGGCCAGATTGGCTACTTCACTGCCTTTTTGAGCAACGGGAGGAACTGCATGATAGTTGGGCTGTTGGGGCTTTCTGTATTTGGAGGAGGAAGCCTGGTCTTCCTTATTTGGCCTGACTAGATTAGGTCAAAAATCTTGATGGTAGTAGCTATCAAGGCCATGAAGTCCGGAAGGTACTGTGTCCTCAACAGATTCTAGTAAAAAGGGAGCAGATTCTTGATAATGATATCGATTTGTTCTTGCTTTAAGGGACGGTTGAGCATTTGGGGAGCCTTGCCTCTCCACCTCATAAGGAATGAGGAGACAGACTCTCAAGCCCCTTGTTTGGTGGTCTATAGGTCCCTTCTAATAATGTCAACCTCAATTATTAACATGCCTACTATTGATATGTGTTTGATTACTCTAATTCTATGTGAAATCTAGAATAACAGAAATGAGTTGGTTTAGAATGCAAAAGAGAAATCTGCTATCAAATAGTTGAGTTAACAAGAAGCTTTTGATCTAAATAATTAGCAGCACGACAGAGTAAGAATAGTATTTCTACATATCAGGCTTCTATGACAGTTATAGTAGCTTCTATATGGACTCATCCGACTTTTTAAAGTATAATGTGAAAGTTGCATTGTTTTGTAATGATAGAAGGCTGGGTTTTACAATAGTGCTTCACGATGCTTATGATGGTCCTATTGCAGCATGCCATGGTTTGCTCTATGACCCTCAAGATCCTATGATGGCCGAATTTCTCGATTATAGAGAGGCTCTTATTGGACAAAGGAGGAAGTCCTTGATTAATTCGATTCAATATTTTTCCTTTTAATAAAGAAAATATTACTTCATTTATTTATACAGAAATTGAAATAAAAATTTATAATTTTTTTTGAAATTTTAAACAAAAATTTAATTAGATAATGCAACTTTGTTAAAATTAACCAACAATAATACTATGCCGTTTTAAATAACCTAAACACACACACGACGGCAAAAAAGTCAATAGGATAAAAGCCACAATTCTCCCTAAGCTGTGTTCATATCATCACGCAGTAAGTCAAGCCAACTCCTCTTCTCCACACCGACACCTCCATAGCCAGCTTCGCTTCTCCACACTGCATATCCTTCTTTTTTGTATATCTCAATTCAACAGTACTTCCTTCTGATTTGCCAAATCCTTAGGAATCAATCATATTTTGATGAAATAAGAATGAAATTTCCTTCTCCATCAGCCGGGTTATTCAGGACTCCATGGAAGTTCCAAATTTTGGAAGGGAAAAAAAGCAAGAAATTGGGAAGATGTGGAGGAGTGTAAAGAGCTGAAATTTTGAAGAGTAAGAAGCGAAAAGGAAGTCTTTGAAGGAGAGAAAAAGCAATTACTTTTAATTCTGTGAATTCAGGTTCATAATTTCTGAATCCCTATTTAACTTTATGCTTCTTTTCTTTTTCTTTCTTTTTCCATGTTTGATTTGATAAGAAGTCGGAAACAAAGTCTTTGAGAAACTGTCAGCATACTCAGCTGACGGCCGTTTCATCTTTACTTTGTGTTAGTCTCGGCTTGATTTGGCCGTACCCGTAGAATCGTCACGGCGATGGACGATTCTCCTCCGTGTTCAAATTCTGGTTAGTTGTTAAAATCCGGATCCTGCATTGAATCGATGGTGGTTTTGTAGGATCAGATCATAGGATCAGATCGGGAACCGTCTACGAATTGTAAATAAAACATTAAAGATACTAAAAATTTACTAACATAAACCTTTAATTTCAAAGAGTGCCTATAATCTACATTAGTCTATTAAACAATATAGATGTGTATTACAATATAAAATTTCATAATTCAAACTCTGTTTTCAAAATTTTGTATTACAACATAACACTTTGTCCATCATCAATATAATCAGCTTCATCAACATTATCAGTGTTTGTAAATAAAACACTTAAGAAGTTTCTAAATATTCATCATGTTTTCTTTGTTCTTCAGAATATGTTTGTTAGAAGTTTTGAAAATGGATCACATAGGTGGATAATTACATTTTATAAGGAAATATATATATATTTTTTTGTCTATTTAATTTTTCAATGAAATTGTTTAATGCCCTATATATTTGGTTTTAGTTCTTTATAATAATTAGATATTAAACCATTAGTAAAATGACTTTTAAAAAAAAAAAAAAAAAGTGTTTGGCAAATTTGATACAATCCTACTTCTCCTGAATAGATGTTGTATGATGCAACATTCTGAACCAATCTTATGATCCTTCTACCTCAGGAAGGATTCTCATGAAATCTTTATCATTTGGCCATACTTGGACTGCAGGACCATGTGGAGATTGCTATTTTAATAACTATAGGACTAAGGCAAAAAAATATCATACTGGTACCCACCCAAACTGTTATGCTTGGCTGATGCATAACATATTAACTGATGTTAAAACCATGGTTTGAAGTTCCTATGCATTGATTGGCTAGTTTGTTCGTCATGGTATACGGAATTGGGGGTTCAAAGCCTAACATCCCCTCTCCTCTTTCTTTAAAAAAAAAGCCCCATGTAGAAAAATTGCTAACTCCTGGGCAATTGTATTGTGTCGTTGTTGTTTACTAAGTATGAAAATGTACAAAAATATGCAGGGTCCTAAATCTGAATTTGAGCAGTGTCATAATTAAGTGTAAGTGTAACTGAAACAAATAATTGGTCTATTGAGATCACGTGTCCATTCTTTATTGTATTGGTGAATACTGATATTAAATAAAACCAAGAGAATGTCCATTATGGTGCTCGTTGATTTTGGGTTCTCTTTTCCTTTTAAAAGCCGCCAATTTCATGTAAAGTTATGGAACTTCAAATTACTGCTCTTCTTCAAACCTATGGCAAAACACTTTTGTGCCTTAATGGCATTCCCTTAAAATGACTATGTTTGCTGATATTGGAATCTTCTGGAGAGAGGATTATACCCTTTTCAGTACCTCACAATCACAATAGTCAAACACCTGTTTAACCCTGAGATTGGATCTTAAAATAGAACATATTCCTTTTTGGATTGCATTTATTGAGAGAATTAAGCCATTTGCTTCTTGAGGTTCTTGTCTGATACGTGTTCAGTGATATTGCACGTATGGTTTGCTACAAACTTGAAGTTGTCTTGATTTGCATTTTATTCTGTCTATTTAGTCTCCTTTCCTGAAAGCTTGATGTGCCTTTGCACATTCTCTCTCTAATTTGATGTAGGTTCTTGGTTTTGCAGGTCAGATGGGCTCCAGCATAGACGTGTTGGAAGCAAAGAGGTTTCTAGCATGCTGTTTAGTTGTCTAAGAATTATTTCTATATTGAGAAAATCTTTTATGGGGTAAGGACTGGGGGCCGAAATGGTTTTACCTCTAAATGTTTTAAGAACATGGAAGAGATGCGAGATGATGTGGGGCCAACAGAACAAGGGCCTTCTAATGCTGTGTGGTGGGGTTCTGATTTTATGGAGAAATTTGAATCTGTATCTTTGCTTGCACAAGAAGATAGTTTGAGTAATAAGGGATCACCTAGAAATTATGAGGATGATGGTTTGTCTTCACAGACTGCATCCCAAATTCTTTGGAGCACCGGGATCCTTTCTGAACGAATTCCAAATGGTTTCTACTCTGTCATACCGGTGAGGATAAAAAAATGCTGTTTTATTGATATTGAGTATAATTTTCTTTTGGAATGCTAGTTTTCTGAGGGATTTTTAATTGACATAGCTATGAAGGAAGAAAATGAGTTCAATTATCTGTTTCTTACAGTGATGTTCAATAATTATTGCTTTGATGGATTTCATTTTTGCAATTTTTTTAGTCATTGTCTTTTATATTTGCATGAAAAATATGTTATGATTGTACTTGTTCCCTTTTTTATTTGTTATCATGAAAGTTTGACCGTTTGAGTTTTACATTTCAAACATTTTTATTTTGTTTTCCTCAATGGACCAACTAGAAACTCTGAACTCATTGATAGTTATTGTTTTTTGGTAAAAAGTGGCACAATTTGGACTAGGCTGAGCTTCCTAGAATAAAATATATGTAGAATTTTACTTCAGATGCTCAATTAGTTTTGCAAGTATGCTGTATTTTTCTCCTCTTACAGACCAATAAAGGATAAAGGTTTAAAGATCTGATTGGCATGGGACTTGTGGTTTAGTCAAACTTTGAGTGATTATGAACATCACGGTTTTGTGGAAAGTCAAGGTTACCAATTTTATTTATGATTTTCTGAACTGAAGCTACCAGAAACTCCAGCATGAAATTTGTGGATAATTCTTGCTTTTTTGTTAAGAACTAATGTATAAAGTGGACTATGTTGGCTTTTTAGAATAAGACTACTTTAGAGTTACAATTCAGATGCTCAATTGAGTTTTCCTAGTATGCTGTATTTTCCCATTTATGGAATACAAAAAGTAAAAGGCTTAAACTACTGATTTGGCAGTGAAGTTGTAGTTAGTCAAACTTTAGATGAATACGAAAATTACTGAGTAGTGGAAGATCAAAATCCCCATTTTTCAACACTTTTCAAATTGATCATCACTGAATAAAATTTTCATGTAGTATATACTTTATTGAATTGAAATTCAGTTTGTGATAAAAGGATTATATATCCTGGCTTTTGATAAGGCATCAGGGACAGTGTGGGGATTTATCTTGAGCCATAATTTGGATTTAGATCTTATGGCTAGGTTATGTGTGTATTCACAAGGTTTTTTAATTTTTTGGGGAAGGAGGGGGTGGACAGTTTCAATCTCTTCTTACTTGGATAACTTGCTTTTTTGACAAGTTGGGGAATTACAGTAAAGGAACTTCTCAAAGAAGAGACTTTCCCTCCAGCCATTTTTTGGGCATTACAGAGGAAGAGTAGAAGAGTCTTTGAGATGGAAAGAGGGACCTTTGTCACTCTTTAGAGAGAGAGAGAGTTACATCCTTGTGGGGGGAAGGCTCTTTTGTGCTTCTCAATATACAAACTGGTTGTTGACAAAGTAACTTCTGATTCTTGGTCAACATTTTTATTTAATTACAAAAATTTTATAGTGCTATCAGACTTAAGTAATAGGAAGAAGATTAGTCATAAAATAATGGAATTGGAGAACATACTATATCTAGCAAGGTGGAACATAGTTGATAGTTGCCCTATTTACAAAGAAAAAAAAAACTAGCTCAATAGGTGTCCTTCATGGGCATTTTTGAAGTTGTTGGTGACTGTTTTCAATATTTGAACTGCACCTTTGTTGTTGCAAACCTAAAAATTTTGTCATTGCATCATACAATGGCCTCTAAGTTGCTGATTGGAAAGATAGAGGATATAGTTCTTCATAAATCCTTTTTTAATATGAAATTTACATCAAAGGAGCTCATTTGAAGCATGTCTATGGTCTAACCAAAAAATCTGACTACATTTCAAAATATGTGAAAGCTTATTTTATCTATGGAGATAAGAGATTTAGTCCTCAATTTCACCCTTTTTCCCCTCAAACATGAATTCAGGACTACAACACTTAATGCCCATGGATAAAATAAACTTAAACATATTTATATACAAAAATTATAATGAAAAATATATTTTTTAAAGTTTGAGTAGGGAAGCAACCAAATCCCATTTGGCTTGAGGTAGGGTGAATGAAATTGGGCTTGTTGGATGGGGTGAAATTCCTACTCTATTTAGGAGCATATGCATAGATCAACATGAAGTATCCTTCCCATTGATCAGAATGCCTTTTCTTATTGACTCATAGATTATGGTATGATTCCCTTTTAACTTTGCCTAATATTGGTGATTGAAGCATGATAAATCGTGTAAATCTTCAGTATTTGTTCTCTTGGAAAATTATGCACGAAGATATCCAAAAAAAATTAATTGGGTTTTGTGTAATTGTGATATCATGCAATGACCATCTTTTATCTTGTCACAAGGTGAAAAGTTTATCTGATACTCCTTCTGGAGGTGCTCAGGCTGGCCTACTTCTTGAGTGGCAGATACAATTTTATTTTATTTCTCTCTCGTGAAATTACAATGGAAAAAGTGCACTTTACATACTTGTATATGTATGCATGAATCCATCTTTACATGTTTAGAATCTGTAACCTTATGCTATTAAGTGCTTATATTTTGTCGTCAACTCCTATGTCGTAATGTGACAAAAGCATGCTTGTATCCTTGTAGTTTTTTAAGTCCTTAATTGGGGTAGCTTAGATAATGTTTTCTGCTTTGCCTTGGAGAAACCTTGAGGTCATTTTTTTCTATCTTGAGAGGATATGATGCAGGAGTTCTTCCCCTGCATCAGGATATCTTATGATTCTTGTCTCTGCTGTATCTCTTTTCATTCTTCAATAGAACTTCATCCTTTCTTATTAAGAAAGGGGGATGGGAGGATCCTTGTCCTATTAGGATTAGTCATTCAAAATTGGAGAATTGTTAGAAGTTCACAATTTCTAAATATCAATATTTCATTCTTTCAGAAAAAGGACAGAAAAAAATTTCATAATAAGCTTTAGATTTCTAAATAAGTAGTAGATACAGAAAGTGAATGTGTAGGAATTTAGGGTTTGGATAGATCCAATAGAAAGATGATTTAAGGGATTGTTTCAGAGAAGCAAAGGTAACGCAGGGGAAGAATTTAGGGCAAATTAACTCTCAACAATTAGGGCTAGAATAGGATGATTTTGGTTGGAACATAACATATCGGTTTCAAAGGAACCCTTAGAATTAAAATTCTGAATTCATAGATAAAAAAAACCATCCCTAAAATTAATTGTTGCTGTTCTATTTATATCAGTTAGGACAAATCCTAATTCTACAGTGAAAAGTATTCCTATTTAGTTTAGAGTCCTAGACTGAATAGTATTCCTATTTAGCTAAATCCTAAGTAAAACTGAAAAATTATTCCTAATTAATTAACATTCTTTAATTTGATTAAGAATTCTATAGTTAAGACAAATCCTAATTCCTACAGTGAAAAGTAATTCCTACTTTAGTTTAGAGTCCTAGACTGAATAGTATTCCTATTTAGCTAAATCCTACAGTAAACTGAAAAATTATTCCAATAATTAACAATTCTTTAATTTGAATTAAGAATTCTAACATAGTCCTAGACTGAATAGTATTCCTATTTAGCTAAATCCTAAGTAAAACTGAAAAATTATTCCTAATTAATTAACATTCTTTAATTTGATTAAGAATTCTAAATAAAGAAGGAAACTAAAAGAAAACTTCTGAACTAGTCTTGGATGCTCCTGCATCAAAAGGGGAGGGTTTTTGTTTGTTCATACTGTTGCAAGGAAGACTTGAAATGTTGTAACTATGGAAAAAGAAAAAGGAGAAGGTAATTCAAGCGCACATCTATTCTCTTATAAATATTTAAATCAACTTTCCATAATATATTACTCAAAAGCCTAAGAAATTAGTTAGGTTATGAAGAAAATTATGTATAAGTATTAGAATTCCTCTATCGGAAAGAAATTCCTATCTATGATGAATTCTCTTACCAAAATATCCCTCTTCTTTGTCTAGGATAATAGAATTGACACCAGGTTTCCAAAATTGGGTGTCTTCTTTTTGGCCATCCATGTATGTACAAGCAAATTTACCTTTTCAAAGAACTCAACTCTGCAAGTTCAAGACTTTCGGGTCTTCTCTATCAGGTTTGATGCTTATCCTCTGAGAAGAATGACTTTAAATGATCCTGAAGCTGATTAGTTTCTCTCCTATTGAGAAGAAGTTGACTATATTAACAATATAAATAATAAATTTAGATTCATTTAAGTTTAAGAAAGGAATAAATCTCCCTTAATGGTGTCACCTCCACACACTTCAAAAGAAAGAAACCTGCAGCCTTATTGAGTTTGATTTGTTTCGAGTCTATTGCAAAAGATAATTTTCCTCGACATCAATGCGTGAAAGAATGCATTCTTACCCTCAGTTTTGGTATCAATGAATTCTTTGCTGGAGTCGGTTGATACACATCTTTCATTAAGTTTGAGGCTCGGTTTATCCACCTATCTAATTTTTTTTTTTTCCGTCCTGTAAACCATGCATGAGAATTGCAATCTTCAGTAATTACTTTGTAACAAATTGCCACAATGACCCACAGTACACTTTTGACTTTTCAAAGCGAATTCATGCTGGCAAGGTACAAATCCTTCACCAATCATATGACTAGACAATATGCTAGATCATTGTCACTGCAGGTTCCAACCTTTTCATCATCACTATCTTTGGCTTCTGAAACAGTTGTCTTTTTTACTTTGTTGTCCTATGGAGTTCTTTTTGACCTTTCTCAATAAGTTCCTTTTCTTATAAATAATAATTATAAAAAGCTTCTATTTGAGCAGTTTTAGGAGCAATTGCTAAAACCTTTTCAAGTATCGCAATCATAGATATTGTTCGATTTTAACTTGAATTAGTAATTTTGAACCAATTGATTGAGAGAATGTGTAATTGGAGAAGCAGGGCCATGAAAAAGTTTATTCTTGCTCTTCATTCACTTTGCATTCGCACTTACTCTTTCATTTCTTGTGGGAAAAAAATTTAAAACCTTGTCAATTATGACAATGATAGCTATTGTTGGATTATAACTTGAATTAGTGCTTTTGAGCCAATTAGTACTTGGATTTTAACTCTTTCATTTCTGTATTCATCTTGTATCCTTGCTTAATTCTTTCATTTTTTGTATTACTTTCTATTGGAACTTAGAGCAGCAAATTCTTCTTCTTAATCTTTTCTTCTATAAGGTCATGCACTTGCATTGCATCAATCATGCTGTAAAGTTTTCTTCAATCAAGATTAAGAAAACAAAACTGAGTTTGTACCCACTTGACTTGACTTGACTTGATGGGAGAACATGGCATCATTGCAAGGTTTAGAAAAATTGTTTGAGCAGAAATAGGAACTGATTCTGAAGATAATATCATCAAATCAAGGTAATTTAGCAGGTTCTTTCCATGGACAGCAGCTGAAATCTTCTCTCTATTGTCCTTGATCTCCACTATGGTGGTTTCCACTATTTGTACTCATTATTAGAATTGAGAAATTTTATTTTCTGTATATTTCATCGAGTGACACAAGTTTATATGCAAGTAATTCCTAGACTATTTAGGAATATAAATACTAGATTATTTAGGAAGATCCCTAAGATCATGCTATATTCATAATTTATATTGACTCTCCTTAACATTCCCCATCAAGTTAGAGCATAAATTTTAATCATGCCCAACTTGTTACAAATATAGTCAACACGAGCCCCATTCAAAGCTTTTGTGAAAATATCACTCAACTGGTCTCCAGTTTTAACATGACCTCGGGTAAGCTTTTCTTGAATTTTTATCATGAGAGAAATGACAAATCAATCTCAATATGCTTGGTGCATTCATGAAATACTGGGTTAGAAGTAATATGAAGTGCAACTTGATTATTACACCATATTTAGCTGGTAATGAAGACTTAAGACCAACTTCATTTAATAGTTGATATGCTCCTACTATCTCACGCAGATTATGCCGTGGCTTTATATTCATTCTGCACTGGTTGGATTTAGAAACAACATTTTGTTTCTTGCTTCTCCATGAGATCAAATTCCCTCCAACAAGGATACAATATAAGTTGTAGGTATTCTATCAACCTTAGATCTTGCCCGATCTACATCTGGATAACACTCAATGGTAGAATGTAATACACCTCGCCCTGGAGCTCCCTTTAAATAACATAAGATCTGTTTTAGGGGCTGCCCAATGATTGAAGTAGAGATGAATTGACTTACAACACTTACTGATAAGTTACTATAAGATAGTTCAATTTACCAACCAGTCTTCTGTACTTCTCAAGAGCTTCATACAGTTCACCATCCTCTTTTTTGAGTTCCAAATTGGGTGCCATGGGTGTACTACATGGATTAGCACCTAATTTTCCTGTTTCTATCAACTATTCATGGACATATTTTCTTTTGGATAGAAAGAATACCTTCTTGCACCTTACTACCTCAATACCTAAGAAATACTTCAACAAACCCAAATCTTTTGTCTGAAATGAGGTGTGAATAAAAGATTTTAGAGATACTATGTTTGTGGTGTGAAGACCACTCGTATGGAACCTGGCGACTGGATTTAGGGGAGGAGCGGATCCAAAGTTGGAGGACCTCTTCAAGTGGATGAAGACAAGAAAGTCACCCTATAATGGTGACATATACTGACAGTGCCCTCTCTCACTGGAAAGCCTGGAAAAGAAATTTGCAGAACACACAAAAGAAATTTTTTGGCACTCAGAAGGCTCTGATACCATGTTATGAGAATTGAGAAAAAATTGTATTTTCTTTATATTTCATCAAGTGACAAATTTATACACAAGTAATTCCTAGACTATTTAGGAATATAAATCCTAGACTATTTGGGAAGATCCCTAAGATCATGCTATGTACATAATTTATGTTGACTTTCCTTAACAGAACTTTATCCATAAAATTTGTGATGTTGCTCTTGGTAGCTTCGCAATCTTGACAAAAAATGAGATTCTTCTGATTAATTTTCAGGCTTGACTTGACAAAAATGTGGCAGAAGAAATATTTGTGGCAGTCCTACATTCTCCTTCGTGGACTGACAATAAAAGGGCTTAGAGAGAAGATGAATGAAGCAAGGACATTGCCCTCTTTCAATCAGTTAATGTGTTGGAAAAACTTAAATTTGCTTTACTCTTATAGCAGACTGATGCAGTACTGGTTCAGATATTTGCTGAGTAGTGCCTGTATGATGGAAAAAACTTGAATAGTTGTTAGATATTGGGGTTTATGGTTAAGGTAGAAGGTAGAGGTAGAGTTCAGGAATCAATTAGAGATTAAGTTAATTTGAAGGTGGTCATAAAGAAGGGCTGGAACTTAAAGGAAGTTACATTTTTTATGGGAAGCAGCTTAAAACTGGAGATGTTTTATCATTGCAAATAGAGTAGGAGGATATTTAGGAATAAGGGATTATGTTGTTAAGAAAGGATAAATCGAAGGACTAGTTAGAGCAAGCAAAACAAGATATTGTGCCTCTTCACATGCTACATGCTATGAAGAATTCTGAAACACTCTAGCTCTAGAATGAGGAGGCGAAGAATATATAATTACTACAACAATTCTCTCACAAGAATTATCAAATTGTGTTATTTGAAGGCCTGACAACTTCTCTAGGTTATGTAATAAGATTCTTCCTTCTCTTGTTAGGATTAGCAATCCTGAACAAGATAGTTATTAATTAACTCTAAATCCTTAATAATATTTCCTTATTAAGTATTCCTGAACAAAGAAATCTAAAACTACCGAGGACAATTTCATTTTACCAAAATTCCTCTTTTCTTGGTTTAGAATCAATGACTTTGTCCTAGGTTTCTGCATCTTTAATCTCATTTGTAGCCGCTAGGTCTGTCATTGAAGAGCTAATCTAATTCTAAAGATAACCAACTTAAAGGTCCTCGTATAGAAGTACTGCTACTTATAAGATGAATTTTTTTAGAAGAGTGCTTAGGCACTCTAAAAGCTCAAAGCTCTATAGGAAAGTGCTTTTTTCTATATTTACTACCATGACTTGGATGAATTTTGAACCCGGATTAAACTATATACTTGATAGGAAGCAGAATCATTTTGTATCATAGAATGTGCAGAATTGTCTCTATGTAACTACCTTGACTTTATGAATTTTGTGATTAAACTACTTTCTACTGTGCTATTTGCTCTATTTCTTATTTTCAAAAATCATGTCTTACTATGTGGTTGGGATATCCTTACCTTACTTTGTTGAGAAATACAATAGATCTAATATTGTCTCATTTATTTGTTGCCCTAAATAATATACTGAATTCAAAGAGGCTCATCACTTTAAAGTGTTTTGGTTTGATGATACAGTTGACTTGATTCATTTAATCATTAGGTAATTGGTATATGGTTGTGGACAGGATAAAAGGCTAAAGGAGCTCTTTGATTGTATTCCAACATTGGATGAGCTCCATGCCTTGGATGGCGAGGGTTTCAAGGCTGACATCATTTGTGTAGATACAAAGAAAGATAAGAAATTATCTATGCTGAAGCAATTGATTGTGGCATTGGTGAAAGGATTGAACTCAAATCCTGCTGCAATGATAAAAAAGATTGCAGGATTGGTGAGAACTTTGTAACCTTTGTTCCATTACAGGGATATCTCATTGGAAATTCATTCAGCTACTTATTTAATATTCTTGTATTTCCGTGAGAACTTTGTAACCTTTGTTCCATTACAGGGATATCTCATTGGAAATTCATTCAGCTACTTATTTAATATTCTTGTATTTCCAACTATTGCTTGATTTTACTATATTGCAATGATAAAAAAGATTGTAGGATTGGTGAGAACTTTGTAACCTTTGTTCCATTACAGGGATATCTCATTGGAAATTCATTCAGCTACTTATTTAATATTCTTGTATTTCCAACTATTGCTTGATTTTACTATATTGCAATGATAAAAAAGATTGTAGGATTGGTGAGAACTTTGTAACCTTTGTTCCATTACGGGGGTATCTCATTGGAAATTCATTCAGCTGCTTATTTAATATTCTTGTATTTGCAACTATTGCTTGATTTTACTATATATTTTGATCATGATGAAAAAATTCTATATCATTAATTTTCAGGAATTTTGCTTTAGGTGTCCTTTGTAAATAGAATATCTTTTTCCTAAGGTGGAAAAAATGGACCGAGGAAGTGTTCACTTTTAAAAGATTTCTAGTTTTCCGGATAATTTTGTAGGATTACAGGGGTGTCAAAATTTTAATATTCTTGTATTTCCAAGTTGAATGGACCTTAAACGTGCTTTCTAGTTTTCTATTTTAAACTATAAAGAAAACCTGGAAAAACTATTAAATGCAGTCTTACAAAATCTCTTTAAGATATGAAACACGAAAAACAAGAACGATTCTCCATTTTCTTGGAGGATTTTCTGGAAAAATAAACTAGCTCCTGTTTCTCGTAAAACTATAATATTTTATATGCCAAAAATCCTCTAGATGATATGTTCATGCTTGTGGTTTGATGCATTCTCAAAACACATACTATTTTGAGCTCGTGCTGGAATAAAAAGTGATTTTCTTCTCTGTCAAGTGTAGTTACACACATTGAGAAGGAAAAAGATATTTAGTAAGCTGTCATTTTTTAGCAAATGATTCAATTACAATATAATAGAAAGTGCAATTATCTACTCAACATTTTTTTTTTTCCAATCTTGCTAAGAAGAATTAAATTTCTTTTGTTAGAAAAATGTTTTCCTTGTAATTTTTTCCCTGCTTTCTCTTGAACAGGTATCTGATTTTTATAAAAGGCCAAATGTGGAAAGTCCAGCAAAAGCTGCACTGGAGGAAACCTCCCACATGTTTGAAAACCGAGGTGTTCAGTTACTTGGGCAAATAAAGCATGGGTCTTGCCGTCCTCGAGCAATCTTGTTTAAAGTTTTGGCAGACACTGTAGGTCTTGAAAGCAGGCTCATGGTGGTAAGCTTTTAGCTTCACTTGACGTGTTAAAACATTCTACATTGCACCTTTTCTTTTCCAACTCTCATGACAGTCAGTATATTGGAAGAATTTGTCCCAAGATACAATTTAAGAATACATCTCATTTGATATCTGATAATCCCTTCTTACAGTCTGTGTCTCTCTCCAATAGGGTTTACCAAATGAAGGAACTGTTGAATATGCAGACTCATACAAGCACATGTCTGTGTTAGTTGTTCTGAATTCTGTGGAATTACTGGTTGATCTTATGCGGTTTCCCGGTCAGTTAATACCCCGGTCAACCAGGGCAATTTTTATGACTCATATTTCAGCAGCAGGGGAGAGTGATTCTGCAGAAAATGATTCTTGTGATTCACCACTGGAACCAAACAGTCCTTTATATGGCTTTTCAGAGAGGGTGGATCCTGACAGGTTAGCAAATGGCATTGACTTATATTTTTAAACCTATGTGACATGAGTTCATTTGTTAATGAGTTTTTGTACTAAGTTTTATTATTCTTTCAATTTGTTTTTATTTTTCTTTTTGTTCAGTGCTGAAAAAGATGAGAGCCTGCAGTTCCATCGGAAGTTAGAGGCAGCTGCAAATGTGTCAGGACCTTCATTGCTAAATATGATGTTGCGATCTGCTACATCTATTGACCGGAAATTGAGGTAATAATTCATTTCATTTCTTTAGACATTCTTTGTAGCTAGGATGCTTTTGCATTGATAGTTTTTAACCCGTCTCTTTCTTTCAACTATTTTGCTATTCAACTTCTAACGTAATCTGGGATGTTTGTGATCGGACATTTCTCCTGCCATTCCCTTTCTGTGTTTCCCTCTCCATTCTTCTGTCCTCCCAGCTTATCACATAGTGAGCCCAATATTGCAACAACCTTTTGGCGACGTAGCCGGAAAAAGGTCATTGCTGAACAGCGGACTGCTAGTTCAAGGTTTCTTTTGATCCCTTTGTGTTGGATTTAAAAGTTTGTTATGCTTGGGATAGTAATCTTCTCGTTCCTGATTGTCTCTCCATCCACGTATGCATCTTAACTAGTGTACACGATTTTACTTGTTAGCTATTAGTGCTGACAAGACATTATCTGTTTACCAGCATTTAAGCATGTATTTAGGCGGGCTCAGATAAAAAACAGGTTGAATGTCAAAAATTAGGATGTGATGAGTTGATCTGTGTAATCAAAAATGATAGAATATAACCTATTCAATTAATCTGATTTGTTTGTTATTATATGGTACGTGACTCATTATTGATCTGTTAAGAATAATTTAATATATATTATGAAAGTAATTTTGTAAAATAACAAGATATGTTCAGATAAGTATTTTGTTACTTGGAATGTTGTAGGTGATGGATTGATGTTATATTTTTATTTTAAACTATGTTATTCGTACCTTTATGTTTTAATATATTAAACTAAGCAGGTTAATGACTTCAAATCAAATATAACAAAGGTATTTTATATCATATTGTGTTGATATTCGTCCTAGCTCTGTATTTAAACGGGTTAAGTAGGTTGCTTCCAGGGTCTTACATATTCTATTGCTCAATATGTAAGGGAATTTTTTGGGGCAATATGACACTGAGTGATACTCTATGGGTTTTTCAAGAATTCCAATGAAACATAACTGAAAAGGCCATAACAGCTAACACCAACTGTGATACACTGGTAGTGTCTCACAAAAATAGTAGTGGCCTCAATGGCCTAGGTGAAGAAGAAGAAGAAGAAGAGGGGGATTCCTGCACTAGATCTGTTGTTTTTTTCTTATCTCTTTTCCTTTTCTTTAACAATTTAAAACTTAAAGAAGACAGTTTTGGGAGGTTGGCGCCAGCAGAAGATGGAGATGGGAAAATGAAATATGCTTTTCTTCTGTCTCTCTCTCTCTCTCTAATGGGTAAATTTATTTACCTTTTGAAGTCCTAATCATAAAATAGGCTGGACTTTTATTTTTTAAAGCCAATACTTTGTGGTTTCCATTTTGGTATGTGGTTGAATTGCCTCTTTCAAAACAACAACTAAGCCTTAATCGCAGACTAGTTGGGGTCGGCTCTTTGAATCTTTCTGTTTTTTTTTCATATCTACTCAATTCAATTAAGCAATTAAGCAAAGTACAACATTGGGTAAATTTTTTAATACTTTTTGTAGAAAAGTTTTGGAAAAGAAAAAGTTTTCTTTTTAACTCATTTGCTATATTTGTAAATAAACAAAACAAGACATGCAACAAAAACTAAGCCTTAAACTAGTTAGAGCTGCAGTATGAATTTTTTGTTTCCATTCATATCTAAATCCTCACTATATCCAAATATGGTATATCTTTTCATGTGGTTCTAGGTCTACCTCTTTTTTCACTATCGAAGTATCCATTTACAGACCGAGTCTACATGACCTTACCATCTTAGATATCCTTTTCTCATTTTGTCTCTAACTTCTGCTACTTGCAGCTTCTGTCTTAAGGAGGGACAGTCCAAAAAAAAAAAAAAAAAAATCCACACATTTGTATTGTAATTTAGGGTTTTTTTGGAGAGAGAGAGAGGGGAGGAGGGAGGCTCCCCCTCTAAGTGTAAATTGAATAACAAAGCATTTCAAGCATGAATTTCATAAAATCAAAATAGGCCTAGCCTATGGTAACAAAGCATTTCAAGCATGAATTTCATAAAATCAAAATAGGCCTAGCCTATGGTAACAAAGCATTTCAAGCATGAATTTCATAAAATCAAAATAGGCCTAGCCTATGGTAACAAAGCATTTCAAGCATGAATTTCATAAAATCAAAATAGGCCTAGCCTATGGTAACAAAGCATTTCAAGCATGAATTTCATAAAATCAAAATAGGCCTAGCCTATGGTAACATAAAATCAAAATAGGCCTAGCCTATGGTAAAAAAGAAAAATCACTAAACCTTCAAGATGTTCAACTCCCAAATTCATCTTAATCCTCTTAAATATTTGAATTCCCAAAGAAACTTAAAAGAATTGTTTGCTAAACATAAAGATTCAGATGAGAAATAAAGACTCCTAATTTACTAATATAAACGTGAAAAGTAATTGATAGTTTTGTTGTTTGTGTCCCCCTCCCCTAATTGCAAGAAATTTATGGCTTGGATGCCCTTACAAAGTGGCTGAGAGTGCTTTCCTTTGCAGTCAGTCTCTGCATTAGGCTGTTTGCTTATCCTCTTTGGGGTACTTGAAAAAAGAAAAGGTGTAATGTTTGCATATTTACAGGATTTAGTCAAAATGTTGTTAAGACACTACTAAATGATTTGTTCTTGGTCTTGGATTAGGTACACTGCACTTTAAATATTAATTAATCTTTTTTGTTTCATTTGGTTTTAATCTTTCATTAAGCTTGGTTTTGCAGTCCAGAGCATCCTTCTTTGCGAGCACGTGGACGCTCCATGTTAAGTGGTGATAGGCATTTAATCAGAGGTTATGGTGATGATGAAGTTGCATCAAGGTTGTTTCCTATTTGATCTTATTACTGAAATATATGTAAGCAACATTAGCCTATTTCTAGATATGTAAATGTGCAGGACAATTATTTTCAACCTCTCATTATATTTGGTTTGTCTGTGCAAATGTTTTTTCTTGGTAACGTGGAGCTAATTAAGTTAATGCTGAGATATGCAACAAACATTTTTGAACTGTGCTTTTTATGTTAAAAAGTCCTTCCACGGTTGTATTATTATGTGTCTTTTCTCTTTTCCAAGTGAATAACATCTTGAACAGTATGATGTGTTATTTTTGAAGTTGCAACACACCTGTATATCTTATATCATTCGTAATTGAGGAGAGAAAATAATAGAGTATGGGAAAATTGGATGATTGAAAGTGACTGGTGGTTGTGTTGTCTGCCCTCTTGTATACTCTCAATATACACTAGTGACCCATATGCTAGTGTTTTGTTTTTCCAATAGCATAAAATTATTGATAAGTTGTCTTTTACCCATGCAAATTTTTTCTTCTTCTTTCACTTAAAGAACTGCTGAATTTTTGTAGCTACAAGTCAGAAGGTGCATCAACATCAGAACTTCGTAGAATAAGAAGAAGAAGCATTAGCATGACCCCAGAGATTGGTGATGATATCGTAAGGTTGATGCTTGTTCCATAATGAATGGTGCAGACCTTGCATTTTGTATTCCCTATTTGAAACTAAAGTATTATTGTTTCATATTGTCCTTGTTCTTCCAATGTCGTTTATTTTGTGCAACTGGGGAATGATGCCTCTTTGTTGTATAAGTTGGTTCACATCTCATTACGGATTGGCTTAGGAAATTTGTGGACATCTATTTTTCGTCATACATTTTTTACTTGTCAAACAATTTGCGATTTGCACTAAATTCATATAATCTTAATGAATTTGACATTTCAAGCCTGCAATAGACCAAGTTTTCATTTTACCTCTAATTAGTTTAAACATTAACTATTAGGGGAAGGATCACGACTTTTTTTTTTTTTTTATCTTATTCTTTTTATGAAAGGATTAGTGTGGATTTAGTTATGGATAGAGCAGAATAGAGACAAAAGATTTCTATAGCCTACCCCAACTCATTTGGGATTAAGGCTTAATTCTTGTTGTTTTTTATGAAAGGGAAGTATGTTGGGGGAGAACTTGCATTTAGTTGTGGGAAGCTGTGGTTAGTGAAGATATGGTAATACTCATAAGTAGTACAAAATCATAAACTAGGGAAAAATCTTCATAAATTAGTAATTTGGAGCCATTATACTCCCATCTTAGTTTGGACTTCAGGTGTGACTGAATTGGGTTGTTTGAATGTTCGTCATTTCTAATATACTCTTCAATGGTAATGTGATCTTGCTGCTGTATTTTTTTCCATCATTTTCCAATAGAATTGTGAAGTATGCATTAATTTGATTAATTCACCCCCCCCCCCCCTGACTTGAAATTGGTGTTTGGGAATTGTTCGCACTTTCCTAATATTCTCTTCTATGGTAATAGTGTTGATCCTTGTCCGTGGTGATAGCTTTTTGTTTCATCATTTGTTCCAATAGAATTTGATGAAGTATCGTCAGTAATTTGAAGTTAACTGTCACACCCCCGCCCCCGCCCCCGAGTGGGTCACAAAGAAAAGAAAGGAAAGGAAAGAAAAGAGGATGTGGGAAAAAAGACAAAAAAAAACAAAGGAAGTTGAAATAAGGAAAAAAGGATTATTGTGCTTTATGAGTGTTGATAGTTATAAAGAGCTTCTTCAGAGGTCAACTTGAAGGCTAGATCATTGGGGCGCTGGTGTAAAGACGTGGCAGATGAATGGAATCTTTAGGAAGTCAAGAGATCGCGCTTGTGAGGGAGGCAAGGGTTAGTGGGATAGGCTCCGGTTAATTTGCAAAGCTGCTCCATAGATGGCAGGGGTTGGACAGGTGAGTTTTGTCAGGATCGCGGGTGTCAGGGAATAATGGTAATGCGCGGTTGTTTGCCTGGGCTGAGCGCATAGTGCAGACAGATGAACTCTGTTTATTTGGAAGGTGTTGTGCATTGGCACGTAGAACTTCTCATATGCTATGGTGAATTCAGTGTTGTGATGTGTGTTTTATAAAAAAAAAAAAAAAAAAAAAAGGAGTGAAAAAGAAAAAGGAATTTGTTATTATATATAAAGATTCTTCAAGATCACTTGAACTATTTCAGGGCTGTACGTGCAATGAATGAATCTTTGAAGCAAAATCGGCTTGTGAGGGAGCAAGGTGATAGGTCGTTTGCAAACTCTCTAGATGACAAGGACAGTGGTTCAGATCTTCAGAAAAATGTATGCTTGTCTGACCTATGCAGACAGAGAACTCTGTTATTGATGTTTTCATTGCATAAACTTCTTCTATGCTATGTGATTCATTTGGATGTTTTATAAATATCAACATTAATGCAGCAAGCTTTGTAATTCTTTAGTAAGGTTTGAATCTGTCAGGTTGCTTAGACCGCACTTTTGTCCTTGCATGGACCAAGTGTACTGACAAATTTGGTTGTTGATCATTTATATTTTGTAAGACCATGTTCACTATCATTTGCATTGTGCTTGATTATAAGCAAATAAGTGCTGAAATGAGGGAGGATAAGCACATGGCCGTCTTTGTTTTCTTGTAGCACACTTAATATATTTGTTATGCCTTTGCCTGTTTGCTAACTTGCAGTTCCTGTTTTTCTAGTTTTGAGGCTCATGGGCATCTTTTTGTTGCATTGTTAGATGAATTATTTTGAACTTTCTTTTTGGATGGATGGTTTCCCATCATTATTACTGCCATTTTCTTGATTCATTTCGAGAGCTTTGGGGCGAAGAAAGGAAGTATTTTTATAGATTTGCACTTTTTTGCTTAGGGTATTCTGTTGAGTTGAAATGCTAGAATTCTCAAGAACCATATTTGGTATGTTTGGTTGGACTAAAATATAAGAGGTTTTAAGGACCATTGTTTACTGTTCCAGTTACTCTAGGATGATATAGTGTTTGTACTGTCTTTGAGGTGTACTGCATTTCCTATCTTTTTCTTTTACCATGATTTCTTTTTCTCTTAGAAAAGATAACGAGAAGAGTTTTAGTGTGAGATGTTCTATGAAATTGGGAATCCTTTTGTTCTAATAAAGACTTTTCTTTCTTTCGTTTTTCATAATTTTTACAAGGATCTTATCCTTGAACTCTAAATTTTAAAGTGAAAAACTGGTCTACTGTGATAGTAAAGGAGTTCCGGTCTCATGTAAAGGAAAAGAATCTTCTTTTCTTATGTAATTAGGAAAGTTTATTGAAGCACTGGCTAAGCGACAAGAGTGAGTGGGTTATCGTTTTCTATGCTTGTGCTCTGAAATTCAGTTAAATAGGTTTGAAAGAAATTGCTTGATTTTCATTTGCTATTTTTCTTTTTGGTATTTTTAGGCTATGTAGCAGGGAAACAGAAATGAAATGATACAATAAGAAATGGACACGGGGAAGTGGAATATTTCAAGATGTAGGAAATGGAAACGTGGGGAAACATGTAAACATAAAAAATATTAGGACATTTTCGTAAACATTAATTTTTCAAAAAAATATTAATGGTGATGATAGAGTAGAAAGGAAAATTAAAGAAAGGGTTATTATGTTTGCTTTTGATTTGAGTGAGAGTGAGCTAAGTAGAATTAACTTGCATGAAATGAAACCCCTTTAAGACTTATTCCTGTGTTGAACGGTAGCCGGTTAGTGCTACAGCAGTTAGGATCTTAATAGACTATCTAAAAACCGAATCCACTCCGGCCGCCCCTTATTTATACAATTCCTTCTAATTGAATGCTTACTAAACGAGAGCTTGTGCACACATTTTCTTTTATATATTTTTATTTATTTATTTATTATGGGGGACGGGGATTGGGTGTAGGTTTTTAAGCGGAAGAAACAACACTTTTTTAGGGATTCTTTTTTTGTTTAAGAAATAAAAAAGACGTTTTTGCATAAGAAATATGTTTTATTTTTTCTTTTTTAAATTATGGAAATGGCCCAAAATGTGTCGCCACCCTTTTCCTAGAGTTACCTGTTGCGAAAACATATCCAAAATGTAGAAATACCTAATTTAGAGTTTCCACACATCATAGGTTCTAGGTGGTTAATATTGGTTATAGCAAATCAGATAAATTTGCATATTAGGTCTTTGCAAGACATGATTATGTGGTCATTATCCTAGCAGTCTCGGTTTTAGTTAATTGCTTTGTTTACTGTTTCAGGCATCAAATTTTGAGCTTGATGGCCATCATGAAATATCTGGTGGAAGATCTGCCTTATATACTCTGCAAAGAGACCATGTAAATTCCCAAAAGGCTATATCATTACCATCATCACCGCATCAATACAGGAGTCAGACTTCAGAGAGAAGGGGACCTTCTGGTTATATGGTAAATGATGAATTGGTTTCTACATGGAACAAAGTTCTCGAATCTCCCATGTTCCATAATAAGCCTCTATTACCTTTCCAAGAATGGAACATTGATTTCTCAGAATTGACTGTTGGAACCCGTGTTGGCATTGGTAGGCATTTTTCTTTGAAAATCTCAGCTATATATTGAGTTTGAAAATGCCTTTTTTGTAATGCTAGTTGCATTTTCGGCCTAGCTACTATAGGTTGCATAGCTCCAAAATTTGTGTTATAAATTTTTTTTTTTTTTTTTTTTTTTTTTTTTTTTTTTTAACATTCCTTTGGTAATACAGCTGGCTTTACATTGTGGAAATGGGAACTTAGAAGACCAGCATATATTTATCAGAAAGAATAAGACTTCTTTTTTTTTTTTTTTTTTTTTTTTTTTTTTAACATTCCTTTGAGTATACAGCTGCTTTACATTGTAGAAATGGAACTTAGAAGACCAGCATATATTTATCAGAAAGAATAGACTTCCTTGTGTGACTGGATAAGGCTTATATTTCAGTCGTTTGTGACTGGATATGGCTTACAGTTCATTCAGTTGTTACAAACCTTATAGACTGGCGGACACACACATTAACCAACTGAAATGGTTTTTAACCATGTATATAATTCAAGAAGAATATTTAAGCATTGAATTTGTTCTCTTGGAGTATACACATTTGATCTCTAAAAAAAATGTTGTATTGAGTTAGTCTTCTTGAAATTTTTTGTTGTACCTAGGGTTTTTTGGGGAAGTTTTCCGCGGTGTCTGGAATGGAACAGATGTTGCAATCAAGGTTTTTCTAGAGCAAGATCTAACTGCTGAAAACATGGAGGACTTCTGCAACGAGATATCTATTCTTAGGTCCCTTCTTGTCAAATTTGTTGATCATTTTAGTTTTATCATATAATACTTTCTCACTTTTCTCCTGTGTGGTCGTTGCATGTGTTGTCTTCCAGCCGACTTCGACATCCTAATGGTATTCCCCTTGACCTGCTATTGTTAGAGTTCCTTTTTATATCTAGTTGTCTGAGATTTTTGCTTATGACAGTCAACATGGCATGGCTTATAAATGTGATACATGATCTGACCTATCAAAATAAAAGGTCATGTGTTATCAAAATAAATAATCTAAATTATTTAGTTTTAGATTACGAGTCTCCTTGGAGATTTTTCTTTTTGTTTTTTTTGGCTTATGGAAGCTCCTTTTACGCGATACTGGTAGTATCATTGCTGCTGTTGCTGTTGTCATTATTATTATCTCTTGCTTTTTCTGCTGCTGGCTGTTGCTGAACTGAGAGATTGCTGGCTCTTGCAGTAATCTTATTTTTGGGTGCCTGCATGAAGCCTCCTCACTTGTCAATGGTTACTGAATATATGGAGATGGGGTCCTTGTATTATTTGATCCATTTGAGTGGTCAGAAGAAGAGGCTTAGTTGGAGAAGGAAGCTAAAAATGTTGCGAGATATATGCAGGTGTGTTTAACCTTTCCTAGCTTGTAAAATTATTTGAACGTTAAGCAGCTCTCTGAACTGCTTTGTGATGTTCATAATATTTACATCCAAAATTTCTGGCTGATCTAAGCTAAAAAGTTTTGCTGTGGATAAGCATCTTTTAAAGTTGCTTCAGAAAGAAATATAATTTGTGCACCTAACATCTGTTAGTGATCACATTTGCGAGGGATTAAATTTGGTTGTTAGATAACATCTTGGTTCCTTCAGGTTTTAGGTTCTTTATCATTGTTTAAATTAGTTTAACAATTGCTCTCCAGTGTCCTGTTCGCCATTCTGAAGCTTGATGAGTACAAATTTTTATAGAATTCAAAGAGAATGGATAGGTTTGTGAGTGAAGAAGAGGAAAACTTTTAGATAGCTGTGTGTGTATCATTGAATCTATTTAATCCGTGAGAAATTACTTATTCAAGACCATGAGTATTTGTGGTCAGTATGATGCATCACGAAGAATTCTTGTCAATTCAAGGAGTATTGATGAGGCAGTTTAATAATATGCAGTTTGATTAAATTGTAATGAATACTGTGAGCTGCTGCTTCTTTCTGATACATAAGCAAAGCTTTGTTTATAAGTAAGCATCATGCTGTTTACTGACTTGAACTTTCTGCTGATAACTAGGGGGTTGATGTGCATTCATCGGATGAAGATAGTTCACCGCGACCTCAAAAGTGCAAACTGCCTTGTGAACAAGCACTGGACTGTGAAGATCTGTGATTTTGGACTCTCCAGAATAATGACAGAGACGCCGATGAGAGACTCCTCTTCTGCAGGAACTCCTGAATGGATGGCTCCTGAACTTATTCGTAATGAACCCTTCACTGAGAAATGTGATATTTTCAGCCTTGGAGTGATAATGTGGGAGCTCTGCACACTAAATAGACCATGGGAAGGAGTGCCGCCGGAAAGGGTAAATACTTGCTTCCATTCATTTTTTCAGTTGTATGTTCATGAGAGATCTTGGGAAATATAACCGCTTCAAAGGTTCTTTCATTCTCTACTTTTCAGGTAGTTTATGCCGTTGCTAATGAGGGATCACGATTGGAGATTCCTGAAGGTCCACTGGGCAGGTTAATTTCAGGTATCTATCGCAACCAATGCCCCTTCAATTATATTGCATCGGATCATTTTTAATTTTTTCTAGAAAATTAAAAATTCTTCGTATTTTATTATATGCTTTGTTCTCTGTTTTTGGCATTATTAATCCACTAATTCTTGCTTTACTCAATCATCAAATTATTTAAGCGGTTTTACATGTATGATATTAGATCTAACCTAACTAACGACTTTGTTTCACGATGGAGATTGTTGGGCAGAACCCCATGAACGACCAAGCTGCGAAGAGATACTCTCCCGGTTGCTGGATTGCGAGTACACGCTCTGCTGAGTCTTTTTTTTCCCACCTTATTTTTCATGTATAGAAAACATGGTAGAGGGGTTACAATGTGTTTCGGCTAAATTGTACACTGTCTTCGATTTTCCTTATTATTGTAAGAAACATCAAATGCTTCAATTTTCATTTTTCAATGGAACCATTGTCTGTGATTCAGTGCAATGGAAAAAATTTAAAGAAATCTAGATATGGAAATTTTTAACTGTTGGAAATTTGCACACGCCATACAGTTCCTTTCTGCATGAATGAAATTCTAAAAAACAGCGTAAGCGACCAAGCACAAATCACGTCTTTCCCCAGTTTCAGTACAAACACATGTAAACAACTGCCAAAACTTCCAATGTAATATGCTTTTGGTTATCCAAAATTGTCGGAAATTTGCATATTTCAGTCAAGAATATGTCGCCTATTCAAGGCATCTTCAAACCGGCAGCAAGAATCTGCTCTCATTTCTGTACTCATGTCGTTTTCTGGTGCTGGATAGTAGTCTTCCCTAAGTTGTACATCCCTCAGGTTTGGAATTCTGAGAAGGAACATCATGAAATGCTCATGGGCTGTACCATGTATAAAGAGCTTCCTCAGTGTAAGACATTCTGCCAGCAACCCAGCTCCTGGAAGCGACAGACTCCTTTGGTTAACATCTCTGTCTTGTGGTGGCCAGTAATCAAGCTCGTTGAGACTCAAATTACCAATGCCATTTAAGAAAAACCTCTCCCACAGGCTTAAATCCATTTGCCCAGATGGGGCAGTCAACGCGAAACCTATTGTGTCACTACAATCCAGCTGCATCTTTGACAACCGATGATATTGTGCAAGGCAGCTCAATCCAAATGCATGCTGTAATGGCTTATGCCTGCCTCTGCAATCCCCTTCAACCCGTATCCGTATCTCCTCCAAACTAGGACAATCTTCGAGACCAGCCATTGGCAATGGATTTAGAAGCTCACCAACACCAATCCAAAGAGAGAGATACCTGAGTTTATCCCAGGACTTGCACCAAAATCCATCTAAATCGCTTTCCACATAACGAGCGTCAGAAGAATACTTGAGTCTTTTATTCTTGCTGGAAGACTCATCAAAGAGATTATCATTGAGGTTAAAACTATGATTAGCAGCACAAGTGCTCTCTGGCAAACCATCCCATATGCAGTCAATATGGAGTCTCTCAATTCGACTACGAATAGGCTCTAAAGCTCTCAAAATTGCTGCAGTATCCAGATTCTTACAAGCAGAGATCTTGACCTCAATCAGAGTCTTGTGAAGCAAAGAAGCCATTGTCCTTATGCCCTTCATTGTAATCTTCTTGCATCCCTCAACTTCAAATTTTGCCAGTTTATGACATCCTCTTGCAATCTCTATCAAACCCATGTCTGTCAAATCTGCTGCCTTCTTTATAGACAACGACTCCAGCCCTGAACACAATGCAATTCCGTCAAGCTGGGACTCCACAGCCATGCAAATACCATGGAATTGCTCTAGATTGAGAACTTTCAACTTGGGACACCGGGAATTAAGTGCTTCGAAAGCCACAGCACTATCTCTAACATTCTTGCAAACGCAAAGAACCAACTCTTCAAGCAATGGAAGTCCAGAGAAAAAATCAACCAACCCTACAACACTGATCCGAGCATCCTCCCCTGTATACCCTTCGTCCTCGGGATCATGCCTTGTGTTCCCCAAGGATGACGTATCGACAAGATGAAGAACCGATAATTTGGGACAATTAGCAGCAATAGCAAGCAGCGTCTCGTCTCCAATGAATCCAAGGTAACTTGGATCGAACATACAAACTACAAGGAATTTTGTGAGATTTGTACAAGCAGCAGTGATTACTCGAATTTCATGTGCCTTAAACCCGTCAGTTAATGAAACTGTAAGCAGATCTAAGCAAGTCAAGGACTTGGAAACATCGGGGTACGCCTGGAGGACAGGCGGCAGATCCTCCGTCCAGTAATAGAAATTCGACAGATCGAGACATGTAAGCATTTGACATTGCTTGAATAAAGGTACAAAGTCGGCTCCAAGATGAGACGATGACGGCCGCTGATGCCACCGTATGATCTTCACGCTGCACAATCCCGGCCACTGAAGGAGGATCTGCAAAGTTGAAGGAGATCGAGCGTACACGGTAAGGGATGTAACAAGTGGAAACGCAACGCTGAGGCGGTGAGCCAGGAGGATAGGATCCGACGGCACAGGAGAGGCTAGCAAAGAGTGACCCCACGGCGAGAGGAGAGAAAGGTCAAGGTGAGTCACGGATCTGAAACAGTTCGGAATCATGTAAAGGTCCCGAACGTTTCCCCGGAGCGTGAGGGAGGTGCGCGTGGCTCTGTCCAATGACAAGAATTTCCTGTTCACCAAAGAAAGCGAATTCCGTGTTCTGGTATCGGAGATGGAGGCGAAAATGTTTGATAAAATCACATCAGGGAGATCGTTGATGGTGGTGGCTGTGGCCATTTGACGCGCCGGCTACACCTACGATGAACTGAAGGTAAGTTCTTTCTCTATGCTGGTAATAAGTAATTTATCAGGTTAGATTTGTTTGTTAGAAGGACTTCAGAAGGATACGGAGGGCTTTCGAGAAGAAGGTATCATGCGCAGCAGTACAGGCTGGGCAGGGGGGTAGAAGGGACAAGGGGTGCTTTTAAACCGGGCCGACATCGAACCAATTGATTACCGAATCGAATCACGGTTTGATCAGTTGATACTAAAGAAAATTGACAGGAATAACAGTACAAATATGATCACATATTTAGAATTAGTATTTAAATCATCCATGCAAACTAAATTGCACGAAAATATAATCCACAATTTCTGTTATTGGGACGTTCAGGAAAATAAGTCAAATGGAAAATATTTTACTAATTAATAAAAAATTAAGTCATTTTTAAAAAGTCATTTTTGAAGAAAATAATTTCTATTTTCAGAAGAGAATATTTTTCGGACAGTACAAACTTATTATAATCTTATAAATCTATATCTTTTAATTTATTAATCATCGGTAATCACTATTTCTAGTCACCGTTCAGTATCGGACAAACCACCCGTTTATTTGCAACCATTGGCCATCACCGCCAATCATCAATAACTTTCATAATTTACCTTTTTTTTTTTTGCATTCTCATATTTAACAGTATAATTTTTAAAATACGAAATTTATATTATTATTAATATTTTATGGTCTTGGACAAACCACCCGTTTATTTGCAACCCATTGGCCATCACCGCCAATCATCAATAACTCATAATTTACCTTTTTTTTTTTTGCATTCTCATATTTAACAGTATAATTTTTAAAATACGAAATTTATATTATTATTAATATTTTATGGTCTTATGAGTTAAAAATTTTAATATTTTTAACTAATTTTTAATATTGTAACCAAACAATGAAAAATAAGTTATTTATTTTTAAAGGTAAATTATTTTTTAAAAATAAATAGGGTCTACATACATCAGTTTTTTAATAATTTAACTCTGAGTTTTTACCCTTTCAGATTACTTTTACCAAATCAAATTAATTGATTTTGGTCCGACCAATCAGATCGGTTTAAAAAACACACGAGAAAGGGAGTGGTTGAGGAATGGGGACACGGGACAGGAGGGTTTGTCGTGATCAAGATAAGGGTTTTGTTTGTAATGTATCCGCGGACCGATGTGGCGATGTAGAGAGGAGTAGAGTGTGTACGTACGTGTCGAGTGGAGGCTGTAGAATTGAGGTTGGCTCTGCATGATTGAGTAGAGAAACTGACTGCTTTCGCCTAACTTGGTTGACTGTTTTCCATTAAGATAGTCTTTTTTTTTTTTTTTTTTTGATTTTTTTTTTTTTTTTTTTTTTTTGGTCTTTTTAAGCAAAGGCAGCGTCAAGCATCATGATATGAATCTTTTTCTAAAGGTAAATTCTACAATGAGCGTAGGTTTTCAGGATAGATAAAGAAAAGAAATTTTTGTGGTAACCGTTAACCCCTTAGGCCACAAAAATGGTATTGTTTGAAATGATATGGGTAATAACTCCCGCCAATAATAGAATAGCAATTTTTTTGCATAATTTATTTTATGAATTAATAAGTGCAATTGAAAAAATTTCGCTTTTGAATACATAATATTTGCTAAAATTGAAAATTAATGCATCATTGTAGGTAATTCATTATAATTGATTTATATAATTTAGGGTTATTTGTAAATTTAGTGTCCTATTTTCAAAATTTTCTATTTCAATTTTTGAACGAAAAATTTTTATGATCACGTGCTAATTGTTCATGAAATGTGGATAGATGAGAATGGCCCATTATTCGTGGGAAAACAAATTTAGTTAGTTGGACAGAAATCTCATAAACTGACGAGTGAGTTCTTAATGAAAGGACTTAGATATCCTAATTTGAGAGAATATTAGAAAGCTTTAGATTAGAGTATGCAATTTTATTGATACAAAACTCACCATTAGAGCATAGGGTTTTTTCTAGGACAATTCTGATTCAAAAATGAATTTTTAATCTGATGAGATCTAGAAAAGAAAGTAGAAAACTGTTAAAGTATTAAGAATTTACTTTAGATTACATTTATGTTTTTAGTAGTTTCAAAAGCAAATGAAATAGTTTCAAAAACAAATGAAGAGTTGCGTGCACGGTCTGGGGCGTGCTAGTTGGCATGGGCGTGCTTCAAATCAAGTGTTGTTCTCGCGAGAGTCAGAAGCTTGCACGGTCTGGGGCGAGCTAGTTGGTACGGCGTGCTTCAAATCAAGTGTTGTCTCTCGAGAGGTAGAAGCTTGCACGGTCTGGGGCGTGCCACCTTGCACGGGCGTGCTAACCAAGCATGGTTTAGGCATGTCATATGTTGGAAATTCAGGTTCCAACCCAACGTGCTCCATGACCTTGCTTTCAACAAGTGCTATGAAGAACTTGAAGGAACACCTAAGTTTCTCACATTAATGGAAGCACATGTGGAGATGGAATCTGAAATTCCAGCCATAGCACGCCCTAGACTGTGCTAGGATAGCACGCCCATGCAAGGTGGCACGCCCCAGGCCATGCAAGCCTCTGCCTCTCGCAGGGAAACATTTGATTTGAAGCACGCCCGTGCCAACTAGCATGCCCCAGACCGTGTAAGCCTCTGCCTCTCGCGAGGAAAGCCTTACATTGAAGCACGCTGAAGCACGCCCATGCCAACTAGCACGCCCCAGACCGTGCACTCTTCTGCCTCTCGCGAAGGAAGCTTTACATTGAAGCACGGCCGTGCGCCTTGGCACTCCCCAGACCATGCCCGCCTCTGCCTCTTGAAATTTTAGTTAGTTTGTTTTGAGTTTTTGCAATGTTAATGGGTTGGGCCTCCTATAATTCGACCACCCTTGATTATTTAGCCTTATTTTGTTTAGATTTAGTCAACCTTTAGTTGATTTGGATTAGATATCTAAATCCTTAAGTTGTTAAGATTTTTAGTTAGTTTAGAATTGCTAATCCTTATCCTTAGCTGATTTAGACTAACTAATCTAAATCAATCTAAATCCTTTAAGGATCTGGACCTCTTAGAATTAGCTTATAATAGCTCATATTGTAATTATTGAATTATTCACATTCAATCAATTAATCAAAGAGAGATCTTCTTCTTCATGCTTAAGCGTGTTGTCTTGCTTTAAGAGAGTGTAGAGGATTTGCATTCTTTCTAATTGCATCAAGAATTCAAGGTTAAACTTATCAATTTCTTTGTGGCGTTTATTCTTATTCTTTTACTCTATTATTGGTGTTCTTGCTTCTTTAAGCTTTGGGTGCAATATAGAGGGGGGGGTTTAGTTGATCTTGGAATCTCTCCAAAAACTTGTTGATAAGAGTTCATGGAATTTATATTCCATTGGGTTCCGCGTCGTTCCGCGTCAGTTTGGTATCAGAGCCAAAGATTAAGGTAAATTCTTATTTATCTTAGTTCTAGGGTTTGTGTTTATTTGTTTTTCTTGTTTCTTTTGTTTCGTGTCTTTTCTTCTTGTTTTTGTGTTTCTTTATCTTCTTGTTTGTTTGATTTAAATTCATTCTTGATTCAATTGTGTTGATCAATTTCGTTCTTGTTTGTTTTAATTCTGGAAGTTTTGATATTAGATCTTGTTGATTAAAAAAAAAAAAGAGAGAGTGTAAAAAATTTTTCGTCCACCATTAAAGATTGTTTGTTGTGTGGATTTTGTTCCTAATTCTTAGGGATTTGACCATATTTTGTGGGATTTGTTCCTAATTCTTAGGGATTTGACATTATTTTGTGGGATTCATATTTTCGTGGATAGTTTCCTAATTCTTAGGATTGACCTTAATTTTAGGGGATTGAGTTTATCTACTTTTATAATCTTGTGATCAAAATCCAATCTAACTACTTTGTAAACAAGAATTAGTTGTCCATATCTTTTAAGATTAAGCAAATCTACTACCCAATCCTGTCAAATCTAAAGAATTCCTAACCTAAATTGGGTTACATTGAAAAAGGATTAATTCAGCACGCCCGTGCTTCACCTCAAGCCACACCCGGCTAGGGTCCTAACTCACTTGTTGGGACTAAGCATTACACGGCACGCCCGTGGCTTCTTTCTAGCGCACGCCCGTGCTCGGTTCTGACCATATAAAAAAAATTTGTTTTCTTTTGGATTTTCTTTGATTGCTTGCTTTGTTTTGGGTAGAATTGATTAGGTCTATATTTGGCTTGCTTTGTAGTAAGCTAAATTCATACATTTTATCCAGAAATTGTCTTTTAAATTCTAGTTTCCTTATTTTTGTTTGAGCTTTCTATTGCTTCTATTACATTCTTAGGGTGTGTTTGCTTGTTTACTACACTCTAATTGATAATTAAAGTAGTGCATTGTTTATATTCTTGTGCTGCTGTCCATCTTGTTTTGAGTCTTCTTTTTAGAACTTGTGCTTGCTTTCAATTGTTAGGGTTTATTCCTTGCTTCTAAACGTGCTTTTGAGTTGGTTGGTTGACCTAAGATTCTGAAGTGCAATTGGAGGAATTGCAAGGAGTGATCAAAGAGTGCAAACACGTGAGGGAGTGATTTACCATTAACTCAAATCTTTTGTGTTTTCTCTTTGGATACTAACCATGAGTTCAGGCAAATCTAGAGATGGTGATGGGGATGGAATTCCAATTAAAGACCCTCAATTGAAACTTTTCATGGAAGTAATTCAAGAACAGTTTAGAACCTTCAACAATCTTTTCCAAGACATGAGGTGACACGGAACCCTATGGAAATTTATTTCAAGAACTCTATGACAAGATTTGGAAGAGATCCAAGATCAAACTATAACTCCCCTCTATGGCACCCAAAGCTTAAAGAAGCAAGAACACCAATAATAGAGTAAAAGACTAAGATAAATGCCACAAGTGAATTGATAAGTTTACCTTGATTCTTGATTGGATTACCTCAATAGGTATTCATTCACAATGGATGGGTGGATGACTGGTCCAAATTCATCTTTCTCAAAAGAAGCATGTGAAGATCAATGTGAAAAGCAAAAGATGAGTTTTGAAACTGTCCATAAAGAAAAGGAGTGTGAAAACATGCTGAGTAAAAATAAAAAGAAAGAGGGAGAAGGGAAGGAAAAACAAATTCAACCTATATTTGTACCTTTGTGCAAAGAATTTT